GGTCATGTTGTGGAGCTGTGCAATGCGGGTCTCGAGCTAGCCAACGTGCAGCTGGGCCCCTATATCGATGACTGGATTAAAAAGCACTTTCCAGAACAGCGGGGTGGTAAGAAGGGGGAGAAGAAGGGGAACAAACCCCCTCAGAGAAACTACGCCCAAATAACAACAGGGCGGGGTCCTAGGGCAGAAGGTTTCAAAAAAGCCCAGGACCTCTTCAACAAAAACCGTAGCTCTCTAGCGGAGAAAATTATTTCTGGAACTCCGCTAGACGAGAAGGAAGTTACTCCCCCTATTGACGAGGTCGAACGGTTGTATCGCGGCATCTTGGAGTCGCCTGCGCGAGAGGTGACAGACGTTCATAACAAACCGCTGACGGAGGACACGAAAACGTTCCTGCCCTTCAGGCAGGACGAGATTGAAAATGCCAAAACGTCTTGGGGCAACTCGGCGCCTGGCGCCGACGGAATTACAGTGTCCTCCGTGAAACGGGCCAACAACAGGGTGCTGTCCGTACTATTCTCTATTATTTTGATACGGAATGTGCACCCTGTTTGCTTCCGCCGTTCGCGCACTACTATTATTTATAAAAATGGTCAACGGTGTGACCCGGCCAACTGGCGCCCACTCACTATCGGGAGTGCCCTCAGAGGCTGATGCACAGGGCGATGGCTAACCGCATACGGGAAGTCATCGCCCTGAGCACCAGCCAACGCGGCTTCACTGCGGTGGATGGCACTCTCGCCAATTGTATGGTCCTTCAGGCCTACATTAGGAACAGGGTGGGCGCCGGAAAAGGGTACTGCGTCGTCTCACTCGACGTCCGTAAAGCCTTCGACACTGTTGGACATGGGAGTGTTGTTGGGGCGTTACGGAGATTCGGAATAGACGAGGGCTCCATCAGATACATATTGTCGACCTTGACCACCTCGGAGACCGCCATCAAAGTGGGTGGCGAGCAGACGGGGAGCATTCAGATTAGGCGCGGGGTCAAGCAAGGGGATCCACTTAGCCCACTGCTATTCAACATGGTAATTGATGAGCTGCTGAGCCGGCTTAACGACGGGAACAGGGGAGGCACGATCCTTCCTGGAGTGAAGGTCAGCGCTATGGCGTTCGCTGACGACATCATTTTGCTGGAGGACGAGGAAGTTAATCTTCCTCTGACGCTCAGCGAAGTGGTGGAGTTCGCGGGAGCCAGGGGCATGGTTCTGAACCCCGGGAAGTGCTCGGCCATGGTGGAGGATCGGTGAAAGGGTCGCTAGTCCCAAGGAAAGAATATGGGCTAAAGATCGACGGGCGCCGTGTGGCCATGGTGACGGAAGTTAACAGCTTTCGCTACCTGGGCCACGATGCGTCTGTCGGTGGGATATTGAGGCCCTCACTCACCAACCTACCATCGTGGCTGTCTAACCTGAAAAGGTCCCCGTTAAAGCCCGATCAGAAGCTCATAATAATCAAAAATTATATAATCCCCAAGCTCTTCTACGGCCTCCAAACGCCGAGGGTAACTGGTGCAAGCCTTCGGTCAGTGGATCGCCTCATAAAGGGAAGCGTTAAGGCGGTTTTGCACCTTTCTGTGCATACGCCCGACGCCGCCCTTTATGCGGCGATCCGCGATGGGGGTCTGGGGATCCAGCAACTAAGGCTGAATGTTCCGCGGGTGTTTCTCAACAGACTCGTAAAACTGCTCGATCTCAACGAAGATCGGGCGCTGATGGCGGCGCTGCAGAGTGACTGCACGCGCGAGCTCATGCACAGGTTGGAGGGCCTAGCGGGCGAGGTCCCTGCTGTCCAGCTATGGCGAGAGCGGCTGGCGACATCCCCGATATTATCGGGGATGGAAAACTCCTCAGACGATACAGCCAGCCGCTCTTGGCTTCAGGAGAAGCCTAAGGGCTGGACAGGTAGGGACTTCGTTCGCGCGGTCCAACTACGTACTAACAATCTGCCAACCGCTGGCACAATGTACGCCTCTGCGGCGAGCAAGATGTGCCGTGCAGGATGTTCGCGGGTGGAATCTCTCTGCCACGTCCTCCAACAGTGCCCCAGCACCCACTGGGAACGCATTAGGCGACATAACGAGGTGGCAAAGAAGGTCGCGAGGCACTGCCGAACCAAGGGATGGACCACTCTGGAGGAGCCCTACGTTCGCCACAGGGACGGGACTCTTTTCAAGCCAGACATGGCTATCATGAAGGGAGACCGCGTCGTTGTGGCGGACGTGGGGGTCAACTGGGAGGGTAACATCCCTCTACATCAAATATAAACAATAAAAAGGCGGTGTATGACAACGCCAAGTTCCTCGAGGCTGCTCGAGAGTTATGGCCGAACAAACCAATTGAAGTTCACGCCATAATTCTTGGGGCTCGGGGAATTTGGCCTCGATGTAATGAGGAGGCTTCGTCTGTTCTTTCTCTCGGTGCGCCCCTTCGTCGCTCCTGTGTACAATCGGTGCTGAAGTGGGGCGGCAGCATACATGCCGCCTTCGGGCGCCGGGTGT